GTGTACATGTATTCTTCTGTGAAATAGTTGTTAAAAAATAGTTAATTATGTATGAATTAGTAATTAGGTACTTAAGGAAAAAAAATATGTATTTACCTATTAGCAATTATGAATTTAAACTCTTACTCATTTAATTATTTAGCACATTCAGTTATATTTCTCATAATTCGAAACTTTTATCATGTTATTCGATGAGGGGTAGGGCTATGGCGCCCCAGGCACCCTGGTGGTTAAGCACCGCAGTTCAATGTATGGTTAACATTAAATCCATCATCCCTTGCCACATCTCTCTATTTCTGAGAATGCTATATTTTTATTATTACTTTATTCAAAAAATAATTTTACTCTTGATGTTTCAAACTGAATGTAAGCATTTAAATGTTTTAACATAAAAGATAACTAATTTAGAATTTTTTTTATGTATATGAAAATATGCAACTTGCTGTTTTGCTGGTAACTATGTCCAGGGCCGATGCCAGAGCATGGGCAACAGGTGCAACCGCACCGAGCGGTAAAATTTTAAGGATTGCTAGGCAGCAGATATAAGAAATTAAAAATAATTGTACCAGGCAATGTGAAGTTTAGCACCAGCATTGACTATTACACTTTAATAAGCATTTAAGTATTAAAAGGAAGGGATGCTGTTTTTAGAAACAGTGACTTGTTATCGAATGATTACAAAAGCAAGTGGAAACAATGACTTATTACAGAGTTTATTTTATTTTATATACTTGTACTTGCTTTCAAAATATAAAAAAGAAAAAAAATTCTGTGTGCACTTAAAAAATTTAATAAATCGATACATTTTGTTGTAATTTGTACAATGAATGACTAAACTTATGACTGTTTCAAGTTCTTCCAAATACAAAATACTGTATATTTTCTGTGAAAAGGGAAATGCATAACTTTATTATGTTTTAGAACTCCTCAAATGTCTTATGTTTGCTGCATCTCATGTAATTATTTTATACAAAACACATATTAAAATGCATTAAATAATGCAATGGCAATTAATTGACAATGATTTTTAAATTTAACCTTAACTTGATATATTTATAGGAAAAACATGTATTTCAAGTCACAGACTTGAGTCCTTCCTTTTCTTCCATATATTCAAGAGATAGATGCACTTTACAGAAGACTATAGGAAATATCCCATGTAGCCATGCTCAGAATCCTAAATAAAACATTGTTCTGTAATGGTAGCTAATCTTATATTAAAAAAGTTTGAATGTGTGTTATGTGGACAGTCACACGGTCTATGTTCACGTTTACAGCACGTTAAAATTACTGTCATACTTTTTTTAATATATATTTGCTATACTGTTTATACTTCGGCTGTAAATTGATGAAAGTATCTGAATGATTTGCTCCGGATATTTTCACCGATACAAATTATTACTGCTTTGGAGTTGGTAAAATGCTTCCAAATTTTTTAGCTTTTCTGGCATGTGTATTCACAAAATATATACCAACTGTTAACACACAAAAATACTAATTCAGTATTTGAAAATACTATCAAAATGTTTTAATTATTCTTTGTTTTAAAGCTGTAGCTGCAAAGGATTAGTAAAACAATTTAAAATGGAATTCTAAGTTTTAAAATATTTATTTTGAAAGACAAGTAAGATGCTATTTTTATACATTTAAAATTGTGAATTTTATGATTCCAGCAATACAATCCATAGGATAATTAAGCCTTATTTTTATGATTTGCATTCTGTGAGCATTTTTTGTGTTAAGATATTGAAATGAATGGGTTTTAAGGCATGAGTTACATACTTTAGCTATTACTCCAAGCATCAGCATCTTAGTTAATATGATTCAAGAAGGTGAAATGAAAAAATGTGTTTGGCAGACATGTAGCAGCAGCTGGCAGTATTACTACATTTTATTTTTTAAATGTAGTTATTGTTGTTGCCAATTTGACAATGTGAACTACTAAAACAAATTATTGAACCACCAGTTGAGATTACAAACATAAAAAAATATTGTTTAAAAATATGCATATGTACATACAAAAATGAAAAATTGACATTTCGATTTTAAACTGCTGCAGTTGTGCTCAGGTGTTCAATTTTTTTTTTTTTTTTTTTTTTTTTTTTTTTGAAAATGAGAATAATAAAAAATAATCTTAAGATATCATAGAGTAGTAAAAAAATTTATTTCTGTGTGGAAGTACCACGAGCTAACATCAATGCTGAACAGTCAAAAAAAAAAAAAAAAGTTTGATTCTCTCTATGCGCTGGACAACACCAATATTAACACCCCCCCCCCCCAAAAAAAAATCGAGACAGATTATTTGGTGATTGAAAACAAGGGTTGAATGTTGGACAGGACACAGGTACATTGGTTGGTCATTTTAATTTAAAGCATTATTTGATTCAATGGAGAATTCGGGACCCACTAATGCATTTCAAAAACATGATTTTCATTTTTGTCAGCTATTGTAATGATTTGGCAGGGAGAAAAAAGAAACACTTCTTTTATTATCTATCTTTTAAGTTCAAAATGACAGCAAAAAATGGATATAATGCCGAAAACATACAATTATATACTGTAAAGGCCCTTATTTTCGCGAGCCCATCATTATCGTGAAAATTTAAGCCTCACGAAATACTTTTTTTTTTTCCAGCTTTCTCAACTTTACTTAGGTACTTTTGAAATTTTTCAACTTCTGTTCATATAAAATTCGCTAAATTTTCAACTCGCAAAATCACCAATGTATTCATTTTCACGAAAATTACGGCTCGCGAAAATAAGAGCCTTTACAGTATATCTCTTCCTTTTTAAACAACTTGCATTTGTCATAACGAAAAAATTTATCCCAGTACCTCAATGAGATTTAACAAAATCTGAAGCAAATTTCAGCTTTAATAAGAAACATGTTCTTGTAAGACCAGCTTTGAAGAACTAAAAGAATTCCAACGCATTTTACTTAAATATTGAAATTGCAGCTCCTGATGTGCATAACTCAAAACAGTCAAAAGACAGAGAATGATGAAAACTTTCTTTTACCTATGTAAGCAGTAATGGCTTCCAAGTCAGTCTAATAGTGTCTGGGTCAACCCAGTAATTACGAATGATTATCTTGTCATCAAAGCAGAATTTTCAAGAAACTAGTCTGCTTTATGTTGTATACAAATGACACTGGGTCAGACTTTACTGAGATTGATCATATTAACTTTTCAAATAACGATTTTTAAAAATCGTTATTTGAAAAGTTAATATGATCAATCTCAGTGAACTCAAATAACGATCAAATAAACCTACTCATTCATTCAATCTATGTAGTCTTAAAATCAGCTTTCATAAGAAGCCAACTGGCATACGAAATAAAATATTGTTTTATTAATCATACTAAAATTTAAATATTTTCATTCACAGACTGAGAAGTTTAGTTAGGGTACTATAACACATTACTGAAGTAATTTTACATGTGCTTGCAGTTTTCCGGTCCTTTTCATTTACTTAATTTATGTATTTAAAAATATCAGACAGTGCCTTAATGGTGCTAGCTTATCTTAAACTGCTGAAAACCAAATATCAAAATTCTGTTTTTCTGAATGCAAAATGGTATAATACAAAAAATACAAAAATATTAATAGTTCACTACCACCTAATAAAAATTTTAAAAGATAAATGTAGAGAGATGACAGCAATCTAAGTTATTACAAAATTCCATTACAAGTTTTCATATAAAAAACAGTCTTTAAAGTTTAATACTGCAAACATTATGACTGTTTTTAACATCTTTCCAAGATGAGTATCACTATGCGATATTCATGCACTTTAAATTAACTAGCATTTTTCAGAGAAAACACATTGTCTAGAAACCTGAGTGGTCGTCAGGTAACCATTCCTAGTACTTTGGTAAATTTTTAGTGCTCCGATACGTTTTTCCTTCAGTGCAACATGAAAGAGATTATGAATTTATGCCTCGCCTTAAGTATAGTAGAAAGTGGTTTTTAATTATACTATAAAATCTTTAAGACACATTTTCATCTTACTAAAAGTAATAAATCTGAAATACTATTTCTTAGCTATCTGTCTTAATTTGATCGGAAGGAAATGGAAGTGACATCAAAATATTTTATGAAATCTTTATATGCAATCACACCAACTAAAAGATAAATCCATTTGACAATGCCCAGTTGTTAGACATAGAATATATTTAAGGGTGTGACTGAAAATATGTTCAAAATGAATTAAGCATTAATTAATGTGAAATACTTCTCCATCTATGTTGAATTTTTAGGCATGTATGAAAACACCCTTTGCTTTGAATTTTTTGTATCTCATTGAATAAAATAGTTATGAAGCTCGATATACAATCTTTACTCAAAAAAGAAGGTTTGGGGATAAAATAATTGAAATGAAAATTACTATAGGAATGCAAATATTTTCTAATTTAACAATACTAATTAAAGCTATATTGTACCTCCATAGTTCATCAGCAACATTAAGAAGAATATGTCTTGCAATTAAAATGAAGAAAATTAAGAAATCAACTAGGAGCTTCCTTGAAAAATGTCTCTGTTTTGACAAAAGAGAAAATTATAGTCAGTGACAGTTGTTACTTCTTAAGAATAATCTTAACAAAACATGCTAAAAATGGTAAGTATTCTCTGTTACAGAATATATGTAATTAATGTATTAAATAAGTAAAACATCTATATGGAAGTTGTCTATAAAAGAAAATAAATAATTAAAAATATATAAGCTACAGATATAACTATAATGAAGTTATTATGATATTCCATATTTGTTACACATATTTAAATTAGCATTTTTTTAAATTGAGTTTGTTTATGATAGTAAAACATATCATAAAATGAGCTAGAGCGTAAAACAAAAGCAAACATAAATTTATAGTTAGTACAAAATATTTTTGCTGAATGCTAACCTTGTTGGTCATTTTAAGAAAGTTGCACGGTATTCAAAATGCAATTTTAGCCAGCTGTGTGTCAAGATCATGTAATAAAAATCACACTATAAAAGTAATATAAACCCACTTTATTAATTCACAGTTAATCTGAGAATAAGATTAAATGAATGATGAATTCAAACTATACAAAAAGCATTTTCAAATGACCAAAATTATGTATGTTCAAAATGCTTCCCATGCAACAAAGCAACTCTCACACTCCCAAAAATAATTTTCAAGAAAACAAACATTGCATTTTTGTGACACATATGGTACAATGACAAAACTAATAATTTAGAGGCTAGTTCTTTGAAGGGGAAGGAAAAGACCAGATCTACAATGTATGTGCACAGACAAAATTGATGTCCAAGAGCAATAAAAATTAGTGCAGGTCTAACTTGGTGCTTGTGGTTTGTTAATTTGCATTAAATATACTATACAAAGATGAAAGTTTACATAATGAGTGAAAAACGAATGATATTAAATGAGAGGTTTTTCAAAAATAATCATTAACTCTCCTAGAAATAGTGCCTTTACATTAAAATAATTTACAAAAATATTCCCTCTTCATTTTCATAACCAAACAATCAGAGAAATAAAGCACAGTACATGGATAAGTCTATAAAGAACAAATTATACTTCTGGACTACTATTTAAGGTTTAAAATTATTTTCAGTATGCTCTTGCTAGGTATTAAATTTTGATACAGAATTTCACACAGTATTAAAATTAATAATTTATATAAAATACACCAATGTTTTCAGCTCTATATGAAAAACCGGTATTGGTGTATGAAGTAACTCAATTAAGGAGAAGCAGTTTCTTTTTAAATGCACATTTTTAAGTAGTAAAAAAAAAGGTAAGTTCTTAGTGAGAAGAAATAAATATTTCAACTCACTTTCAAGACATTTCTCTGAAAATAAAATCTTTATGAAACAAATTGGTATTACTTTTTTACTTTTAACAAGGCACCTTACTAATTTTATTACCAATTTTCATAATTCTAATTCTATATGTATTCACTAAAATATAAATATATGCTCTGGTGAAGTCCAATCAAACTAAATTCTATAAGTGGTACATCAGTCAATGCTAGAACTATCATTTTAAAGTCCAACAACTCATTTCTTATGTTATTCCATATATTCTACAACATGCAAAAAACTGTTAATCTAAAAAATCACTGCTTTTGTCTTTCGTGAGCTCCACAGGACTTCACACAGTAGAACTCATCTAAAATCACTGTGTTGGTATTCTATTATAAAAATATTTCTCAAGAAATATTCTGCACCACGCACAACTATAGTAAAAGTGCACTGTTAAGCTAAGCTAAATAATCTTTTGGCGTTAGTATATTTTTTGGACCATCAGTTATATCACTTAATGGACATCATTTATTAGTGAGGCTTTTTTCTTCACAACCCTCTACAATCACTGAAATTGTAAGACTCAAGTTGCAACTTTCAGGCAATATAATCACTAAAAACTACAACTGTATACAAAAAATAAACTGCAAATATTAAATAACAGATTAAAATGGGATCACCAGATTTTTTTTTAACATGAGCATTATAATGTTTCGCTAAACACAGTACACTTGTGTTTTATATATATGTCCTAAAAATGTATATAGAAATACTCTTCAAAACAAAAATTTGATTCAGAATAGCATTAGCACATCATATAAAGTTAATCCATTATACTTCCATGAGGGAAAAAAATTTAAACTCTTTAAATATTATTGAGATTACACCTCAGACTGATTCTCATATTTCAAGTAATTTTTCTGTAACTGCCATGTGCAGGATCTGGCCATTCATTATTAATTTTTCTCTCTCAATTCTTATAGATGTAACACTAAGTATTTCAGAAATCATCTGCATGCTGAGTAATATAAACAGCAATTTTTAATACAATCAATAATATTTAAAAGTAACATTAATTTCATACTCAAGTTATACATAACAAAGAGCATTCCAGATAAGAACAATGATTACACTGACTATAAACTAATAATCGGGCAAATTTTCCAAGCTGCCAGTGATTCATTTCCTTCAGAACAGCAGCAATTTCCGTTGACTACTAAAATATTTATGAAATGGCATTTTATTCAGTGAACGCTATTGAGAACAAAAAAACATATGCTTGTATAACTGTGATGGCCCCCTCCCCCCCAAAAAAAGCAAAACAGTATTATTTATTATAAAAATGAACGAACAGGGGATTACCAAATTTTAAAACAGTACGAAAAGAAAAAACATATTTGATAATATCAATTAACAGCAAAGGTATCAAAAAAGGTCTTCAAAATGATTAATAGGAAAGTTCAAGGAGAAATCCCACATTTCTATCTAACAAGTCACTTGAAAACTAAAGATACCAAAAATCAACTATTTTTCAAATTAAAAACATCTTGGTGTAAAAATGGCTCCAAAATGAAGAACAAAAATTTGAGAGGGGAATAAAAATGTTAAGTTGATAAATCGTATCCAAATACAACCAGAATTTACTTTTTTTTTTTAATTTTTAAATGCTTGATCTTGAACTTATTGACAGCAGACTTTTATGAATTACAGTATTAACTTAAAAAAACCTCAAATTTATCTAGCTCTTACCTAGAATGCTTTTTATTTCAATTCAAAGCCCTTCACAATGCAGTTCTTTTTTAATTACAGTAATTATTAAAGTCAGATCTTTATAATCACGATGCAGGTACTTCAGAAATTGAAAGCTATCACATAAGAATTTAAGACAATGAAGAATTCAAAGAAATAATTACTTCAGCAGACTAGAGTGAATTATAAACATTTGAAATGTTCTAACAGGTGCATATAACCATAGATTTTTAAAAACGCTGCCTTTACGCTGACCAATAAAAGAAAATTATATTCAAATAGTATACTTTGCGAAGAGATATTTTGGTAAGCTGTTTAAAAGATCAAATACACTACAGAATTTCAGCTCTGGATGATCAAAAAATTACTTCGCTAAAATATTTTCTTAATTACTTCCATACAAATTTTAACAATGACAATATACTGAAATCCATATAAATTAACTGAAAATATTATAAAATAAAGACTACAAAAGTACTTTATAATAATTTGGACAACACAAACCAAGCCACTTTCTTTTGTACTATTATATACACAATTAACTTCAGAAGAATGCTAAAATTCTCAAGCGAGCGACTGATCACAGACAATTCATTTATTTAATTTTAAAACTCACTATTGATGACACTACTTATAATTCATGTTCACAATGACCTGTAGACACTTTTCCCCCTTATAAATACTAATCAAATATCTCTAAAATTTAATAAATATTTTCATCTTATGAATTTAAAAATGCAGCAATAATACATTAACATTCATGCTATGTACAAAAATGTGAAAACTCATAATCACAACTCACAAGAACTATTGAATATAGTAACATTCTCTTTTTTCTCCACTAGGAGTTATTTTTTTTTTAAATTAAGATCTCAAACAACAATTAGAGAAACAAATTTCATATATTTAAAATAGCAATCACACACTAAAATTTTCATATATACATTAATTCTTTAACTGTATCGCTAAAATTTAAATATTGAAAATGGAAACTGTAGGTAACCAGAAATTTTAAGACTTTATTTGAATAAAATCAACTCTTAACTAACTGGGCACAGGTTAACATATCCAGGAACTACTATCAGAACTGTCTACCAAGATACAAAAAGGAAAAACATGTAACAGCAGTGATAGATCACCCACAATGAATCATCAAATGTAATATTCTAATCAATTTGCAGACATGAGTTTCAACTTAGCAGTGTTCAAGTATCTTTGATATTATTCCAGTAAATTGGGAATTGACAGTAATTGCAATTTTTGTGAGTTATAATACTCTATAAATATAGGCACTTTTTAACCAAATAACTATACATACTCAAATTTATAAAGAGCTAAATTTCTAAGAAGAGAAGCTATATCAGTCCCTGTCTTACAACTAGTCTCAATTCCAAAATTTATAAAATCAACATCTGCAATAAAAGACTACAGACAGCATATTGCATGTAAAATATTTTAATAAAATAATTCTTAGCTGAACACATATTTCGGGTTTTTATTTTATTTTAGAAATGTGTAACAAGTAAAGGAAGCTAATTCGCAACTGTATAGCTCTACAACTTTTGATACTTTTAATTTTCTTGTGAATATGCAAAGTAACTTCAATGCATCACTTAATAACAGATTCTCCAAAAGTATATTAACATTTTGAGCTTCAATATATTATTGAACAATCAACTGAATTGTAGTTTATGTGCCTGGGAAGTCTTGGGTTCTCACTGTCATTTTAAAAAAGGAAGCTATTTATTTTGAATACTTTCTTAAAATTGATAACTCTCTAACAAGTGGATACATTATAAAACCTTTTAAAGGTTGTAATGAAATTACTGCTTAAATAAAATAGATGCGAACTTCAAGCTATCAAATAATATAAAGATGTCAGAAAATTTTCAAATTATTCTATTCAAGGAAATAAATTCCATTTCATACAAAAATACGTCAGAATTTTTATAACAATCTATACAAGCGAAATTGAATATATCTTTATAATTTTTATATATAATGTTAAAACGTTTTCAACATTCTACAATTACCTACATTTCTTAAAATAATTTCAAGGCTACTTTTTTTTACAAAGCCATAAATACAAATTAGATCACAATGTATATCCCATGTTACATTCTCCAGTTCATTGTGAACACAGGTTGAATCACAAAAAACAAATTCTATACACAAATTATGAACTTCAGTTCTGAACACACCTCAAGTCCATAATGAACAAACTATGCAAATACAATATTTCTATACTTATATATGTATTTATATGTACATTGACATACATGCATACAACAAACACAACAAACATGCTGTACAAATTCAGGCAAATTTGATGAAGAAAATAGCCTATAAACAGCAGCATCTAAGAGGCCACAGAACTGTGCACTGCAAGCATTACAAGAATGTATAACACTGTGTATACAATTGTATATATATATATATATTTATATATTTATTTATATGCATATATACACACAAATTTTTTCATTAGTATAAAGCAGGTAATCTTTTCCAAATGATGACTTGGTGTCGTGTTTCTCAAATATTTTGCAAACGTAAGAGCACACACAACACATGCTCCATTCCTGAGAATTTAGTGATCCCAAAAGGGCTCTCCTCTATCTGCAACCAGCACGAAGTTAACAGCGAGCTGGGTCAACAGAGCCCGAAATGTTTATTAAGTGGACATGAGTCAAACACTTTTTTTATATATATAAAATCAAACAAAAGCACACTAATCCACTTCATGAGTTCACTTAGCTATGCAGAAAAAAATTTCATGGAGGTTCTGAAAGTAACTGTTGCAGAAGTGACTTTTTCTGTTCAGCAGGTCGTTCTTCCATTTGATACTGAAAAATAAAAAGGACTTTTCAATACATAAATTTCTAAAAACATACATAAATATTCCTTATTTGAAAGCATTTGAAAAACATATCATTTATATCACATATAAAAAATAAAATCCACAAGCAAAAGACAAATCAAATTCAAGAACAGAAAATGATGCAGATAGCCAAATAATTTTATGGCATATCATCTGGTAACTAACAGTCACTAGGGGAAATAAATTTGCATTTATATTTTGCATATTTGTGATTAATCAATCAAGGCAAAGCCAGAAAGGGTTATTTGCCTCTAATGGAAACTGGGCCAGATTGACTTTTCACTTGGGGAAAAAATCAGAGAAATTATCATCAGAAACCTATTAGCTGGAATTCAAACTTGTATGTAACTGCCAGTGTTTGGCAATCTTATTCACTCATCAAGAGGTAAGCATTATGTTTCCTAAGCCCCAAGCAACCACCTTATTTTAACCAGGAATTGAACTACCATCATTCAATTGTCTTCACTGCAACCAACAATGCATTACCATCAGTGCAGGATTTACATATAAACTATACAAGCTTTTTCGGCCCCCACTTTCTTGGGGGGTCTCAAAAAATAAAATACAGTATAAATATAGTATTAAAATAAAGTATAACACGCTTATAAAGGGCCCCATACCTCAAATAGCTTAGAGCCTTATCAAGACTAAATATGGCTCTGATTACCATTATTCAATGATTTTATCCACAATGATTTGAACTAAAACAGAATGAAATTATAAATGCTGTTAAACAACCTAAGGTAACACATTCAGTACACAACTAACTGCAATAAACTACCAAATACTTCATCAATCCCTTTCTGATGAGGAAAATGGCCAAATCTAATTCTACTGATCTAAAGTCCATAATGAGTTGAAGATGGTTGTCCATTATGAATTAATGAATGTCAGCAAAATACAGAACTCAATTATTCATAATCAACATTGTAGGGAATGCTGTAAGAGGTTAAGACCAAAGAAATTTTCTTATAATGCACAATTTCTGTTTTGGCGATATACTTTTTGACTCGAGAAAATGCAAAAGAAATTTTGCCTCATGGATGTACGCAGTTCCTTAGTCTCATGGTAAACAAAAGAGAATTCACACAAAAGAAGCCTCAGTCTATACCAAGAGAAGCAATTTCTTATAATACAGCTATCTCATTAACTCACACAGCTTCTACAAGCACAAAGAGTCCATAATTTCGATGTTTGTTGGCACCAAATATTCACTTATCTATTGACAATGATGCTCATTTAAGAATGGGTGACCATTTGTAGCAGAAACTTATGCATTCTAGTGTTGGTTGCATAATTGTATGAGATATGGTTATTATGCATCGAGAGCTGCTACACTACCACCAACATGCAGACACTGCAGTCAATTTCTGTGAACCTTTTTATTTGATACTCACTTTCCATTATGTCATTTTTCCACATATCCTTAATAATAATGCCTGGTTGTGCCAAATATCTTGTTTTCTTGCCACTTCCTATACACCAACAGAACGGATCTGACCATGAATCAGCAATTTTATTACACACTGAGGTCTCCAATGTTAAGGGTATGCCCTTTTGGGGAGGATACTAAATTATCACCACATCCTATTTCCACTTGCACGATTAAGACATATTCCTATTCTAATAGCCCTCACTGTAACTGCTGCAGTTCTCCTGTGAGAGCAATCTACTTTATAATCTGATAGCTGCAATTTAGTTAGCATATTTTGTTTTCTAATAAAATCAAAAATGAATACTATTTACTTCAAATAACACATTACGGTGTCACACTTTAAGACCTTATTTTCAGGTTTAGTAAAATACTAGCTTTACTTTACATTCCCATGTATCTATTTCATTTATTCATTCATACACAAAATTTTATAACAACTTAAAATGACCTATTTTATGAATGCAAATATTCTCAATAAACACAAAAAAATGCTTACCCTAGGACTACCAGTCCGAGTCTGATTTTCACTTCCTCCGGCAACACTAAGAAGGGACTGAGGAAACAAAGCGGGAGATGATGGCTGACCATCTGTCAAAAACAAATGAGTTCATACTGAATTAAACAAAACAAAACAAAACAAAAAAAAATGATGATGATCAAACTTAATATTTAAAACACATTCGTGTGAAAATTTCATAAAAATAGCTGAATTCTTGTATGCTCAAGCTAACAACTGGATAAACACACAAAAACAATTTAAATTTATTAGCTAAATTCTGGTTTAAATTTGTAGTGCTCAGTTTGGAATTTATTTTGGCCACCTCTTCAATATTTAGAAATGGGAGTTGCATTAAATCATGAAAATGAATTAATATTTAAGAGATTCGGTATTACACTACGTCTAAGGTCATCAACCTGTTTTTATGTGCTTCAAGTATGTGCACAAGAAAATTACGATTTTCACTTCCATTTCATCAGTTGCAAACTCAATATTATTATTTTCAAGTAAACTAGCCCAGGTCCATTTTTCAGTGAAACAAAATTATTCAGAATGCTGTGAACTCTACATTTCACATATAAATTTTGATTTAAATTTCTAAAAATTTCACTGTACCTTTTTAGGGAAAAAATATTGTTCAAGTTATTTATGAAAGCATAATAATTCAATTCTAAATGGTTTTGAATTTATAAATTTTGTGAGTACTTTTAATGTTATTTCATATTATATTTTTAATGCAAATATAGTGAAAATTAAATAATTTTCATAACCATGAAATATATTTGTTCATTCATTACTGTAAATAAAAGTGACATGCATCAAGGAGAGTCAGGAAGCGTATTAGAGGGTCAAAAGGCTTTGGTTTCAATTGAAATATTTTAATCCGATTAGAAAAAAAGGTTATCTATCTGCACTGCATAAGATCGTATGATATTTATTAATTTCAAACGATGCAGCTTTAAAATGATATATTATAAACAGTTACTATATTGGGGACAGAAAAGGGAAATACCCAAATTAAAATGAAGAATATAAGGGGCTACTGCCAATTAAAATTTAAAGTTTGCTTTCATACTTGTTATTTTACAAGGAGGTCATAAAAAAACTTCCCTAATATATGAACACCTAGCGGTCTAGCTACTCAATCACAATTACAGGGGAAAAAATTTCAAAATTTTTGAATGGCAATATCTATTTTTTTGTGCATAAATTTATCAGTACATTGAAAAAACATAAATGGCATTGGAACGATACATCTATGATGAAAATTGGTGGCATAAAACACTTGCAAAAAAGAGCATTGTAAATGACCAATGACAATAGGAAAAAAAAACTTTTACTGGAATTTTAAGGAGAATTTCAAATACCTTATATTTAGCTAATTGATTAATTTTCTATTTATCACTGGAAAGCATAATACCTTTTTAAGTTGGAAGTTACATGAAAATGGCAAATGAAAGAAACAAGCACTGTAATATTCTGTATAGCAGAATTATTCTTTAAGAGTCATGATTCATTAAATTATAATATCAGAAAGGGGAAGAAAGGTATTCAAGCACAAGTAGACCTATGTATATTACATAAGTAAAACTCTTATCCAAATAATTTAGCTTGGAAAATTCAAAACACTGTGATTATTGACGAGAGAATTTATTTAAATAACTTGAAATAAAATTTCTGTTGTAAATAAGAAAATATCTAGAGACATAATTTCAAAGTTTCATAGATCAATCAAGAATTTATGATTATTGCTGTTAACACAATGGGGACTTAAACTGCCTTAAAAATTAATTCTCTATTGTGAAACATGATATTCAAACTCCTTCTAAAACAAAAATTTCATTTTTTTATCTACAGAAGCATCAAAGAATAAAAATTAAATCACTATAAATTTTATCAGTCAAACAAATTTACTCTTAAATTTCTTGGATAGAGTGAGGGGTAAGACAAGTATTAAAACTGCAGTTTTTTCAGTTATTGATTTGGTTTAGCAAAATACCACACAACTTTAATACTCTCTTTCCTGGCAAAGCAAAATTTATTCATATATAGCTATAATTTATAAGCTCAATACAAACATAATTTTACATTTATAGAAATGTTAGTAATATTGCAATAGGACGTAAATATTTTAATCAAAATTATACAACAAAAAACATTTTAAAAATGGGCAAACATTGTCTGTATTTATAAACTCACTGCTAGCTAATTATATTAACACAAACATAATTTACAATAAATGTAATAAAATACCATTGCCAAGGTCAAGAGAGAATCCTAGTGTATCAAAATCAGCTTGACTAAGAGACTGATTTGCAGACTGAGATCCTGGTGCTTGAGCCATTTGTTGTACTAATTGCTGCTGGTGCACCTTTAAAACAATAAATATTAAATAATTAATTTAAATCAATCAAAAGTGCTGCTGAACATTTAACAACTGATCTTTATTTTTACCAGTTAGAATCTTTTTCCTTAACAATTGTTAAGTTTTAAATTTGTTCTATTTATTAATGATAGATATAAGTAATTATAAAGATTTTGATGTAAGTAATGTTTCACAGATAGATGAAAATAATTTACCTGATGCTGCTGAGTTCTAGCACCCACCATAGCCCTAAGCTCTTGTCGAACATATTCTGAAGCCATTGCACCTCCTCCGTTACCACGATTTCTATAACCAAGAAATACAAATATTAAGCATATAGTTCTAAAGTATGTATCACACACATTCTAATTAATATATATATATACTATATACACATTAGACAATCAAGAATATCTAGACGCCTTAACACAGTGGCCTAATGTAGTAGGGTCCACCTTCTACTGTGATGGCAAATGACACTCAATTGGAAAACCTATACATATTTTTTTGAATGCTGTAGAGGAAATGAATACTATTCTTTGAAAACAGCTTGGCTAGTTCTGTCACCAGTGTGGGTCAGTGCGGTTTGGCTTACAGCTGACATGTTAATGCATCCCATGGGTGTTTTACAAGGCTCCAAACGAGCTAACTCAGTTCTTCAGTATTCATATTAGCAAACCAGCTCTACAAAACATGTCCCCATAAAGCTTATCATACAAATATGTGAGCATGCCTCTATGATATTATACTACAATGTTGGCACTGCAGAATAGTCTAAAACACGGATTCTCAAACTTTTCAAATTTTGTACCACATAAATATGAAACAAAAGTATATGTACCACCATAAAAGCATTTTGCCATTAAAAATCAATGCATCCTAAATGGAGTGTATATAATCAAATAATAAAATCCTTTAAATTTATATTATTCAATAATATTCGTAAATGAAACTTTTACATTACAGCAAAATATAAATAAGTATACTGTACAAGTGCCGCAATGATTCTTGGAAATCGTAATGTCGGGAAATTGTTCAAAGCTCTTGGAAAACTTATTTCAACGTTAGAGTCGTAAAAATGAAAAGCTTTAAAAATATACGTGTTTTTGAATAATAAAAAAGATTAAAACAAAATGTCAAAAGGGGTGCAATTTTACATTCATTGAATTTTTTTTCTGTAAAAATTGTACCACTAAAATATTGTAATATACCACCAGTAAGTACATGTACCACAGTTTGAGAACCGGTAGTCTAAAACATTCAGTACGTTTCTACTTTTATGGCTTTCTTCACAATAACCAGGGGGACTTCTAAGCATAAGAAGCAATATTTCCACCAGAAAGCTTCACTCTGGATACCAGGTAGATAAGTAATGTTCACATATTTTTCTCCATACCTACACGAGTACCTATAGTTCAAGACCCCAATACTGTCAAGTTTTACACCACCAAAACAAATGCCTCACCATGGTTGTATTTAAATTTGATTTATATGCAGCTGGCTTTGACAAAATAAAAAATAATAATAATAATAATAATAAAAAAAAAAACAATAAACAAGTAAGAAAAAGAAACAAAATCTGAAAGGAATCTGATTTTAACATAGCACCATACGATTTGTTAAGGATTTTCATATGAACTCAGTTTATCTACCTGCTCTTTGATTTCTACTGACAGAACTTTTTGTCTTTTTAACTTTATTATTAAACAGCACTTCCACACAACATAAAATTTAACAACAATATTACAAAACTCTTAAAAACAGCTTATCTTTAGAATTCCCATTACAGTGTTAAATGTTCACATATAGTTTTAAGCTCAGAAGAGTTATTATTCCCAAACCTCACCATTTTTCAAATAAATAGCTACTGGAGTAACCAGCTGTCTAAAATAGTTACTATGAAGAAAGGGGGAGAAACGCTTGCTTTTATTAAATCTGGCTAGTTTCAATTCATTGGTCCAAATGGTAATAAATGAGGTATAGAATCAGCTTTACTGCTCTTAAATTTATAATTTTGTTAATAACAGCTAGATTAAACTTAAAAGATAAATTAAATATCTTGTGCATGACAACAAACTGGGACATGGAAGTTCAATGTGTTTTTTATTGGATAGCTTTAGAACTTAAAAGTTTAACTCCCCTTAAAGAACTCCTTTAAGTTTTAAATATTGTTAAACTTTTTTTATATTTTACTACATTAATTCTTTAAAATTAATATATGGTGATTACATTTGGTAGCAACAGCCTTTTATTCATATTGTCATCTTTTTTTTATATATTCGCTATTGAGACTATACCACCTTTAGCGCTAAAAATTCAAAGCCCTTGGCAAACTGTCATTGAATGAGACATCCAGAAGCATTTTGGAATTCAAAATGTTTCTGGGCACAAAACAAACAAGGAAAAACGTTCATAAATATTTTCAATATTCTTCAATCTACATATAACAGATGTTCTACTTCTAACAGATGATAAAATTAATGAAGTTGTGACTATAGTCATGTTTCACTTCACCAAGAACTTTCACAGTGGAAGGAGTAATGCATAACATGACAGAAATTTCACAAGTTTTTCTACAACAGTAATATGCAATCACTGTTCACAAAACCATGTTCAAAGAATTTAGCTGATATGCTCCTTCAGCCTATAATTATGCATTTTTCTTCCACAGCAGTACACTTGCACTGTGACGACAAAGATTGAATCCACTATCCTCTAAGCACATCAAGAACTGCTCCATCATACTTTATATTTTGAAATTCGCTGAAGCAAAACAGAGTACAACAAAACAAATACGATACTGTAATAGACTACAGCAAAACTTTGTAAAATAAATCTCTTCACATTCTGAGAAAACATAATTCATTAGGTTTCATATCATATCATATGACAGCACATATGCAATAAATTTTTATGCCAGATAAACTGGAATATTCTGTGATTCAAACTGATTAGTGCAATTCCTCTTACAAAGACTTCCATTCCTTGGGTATCTTGAAAACTGAATTATGCCAATTACCAATAAAGGACTGCAATGAATAAAGATTACTTAATTGTTTTTAACACAGCAAAAGATAATGGCCAACAGCATATATCATTCATGCACAAGTTAATAAAGGACATAAAAGTTTCATATGTGCAAATACAATAAGAGTATATAATAAGCCAACATAAATGGTGGAAAGATTTTTAGCAGCCAAACTGAGTGAGTTCTGAAAAATTCTCTTATAATATCACCACCTCTATCAACTATGCTGAATCTAAGCCCACAAAACAAAAGACAACCTATAACAATTGGCAATCCATTTTGATACTGGTTTCCAAATTTCACAACCGAGCCATTCAGTGTTTTCCATATCATATCAGGAAAGTCTCCACTGATAAGAACTAAAAGAGCTAGATGCCTTGCAACCTGCCCAACTAGATATGCAAACAAACATGACATTATTTGGTCCAACAAGCTGCAAAACTATTTCATGTTGATCGCTGCACCAAGCACTGCATTAACAACAGGTTAAGAACCAGTCATGCTATGTGATGATACTGATATTTGAAGCCAACTGTTGGATCTCTGACAGTGTCAGGTCTTTTCATATGCCACATAAAATTATTTTAAGATGCAATTTTAGGAAAACTTCTTTAATGATATGAGCTATATACAGGTACCAAAGATGAATATTTTCCTCTTTAATGATCATTTCTGGTTTAGAACTGGGGCAAGGCAAACTTGTCTAGATTAGAATTTTCCGAATAACATGAACTGTTCATGGAAAAACTCCCATTATCATTCAACTCAGTGGAACAATGGACTGCTGCTAGAAAAGCATGACTTACAAATACAAACAGAAAACTTTCCAAATTTTGTAAATTTTATAATGGAGGAATAATAGCCAGTGAAAGGCTTAAGCATTGCATAGGTATGCGAAATAACGTGGTAAAATAATTTGTTCAGTATTTGAATATAAAAACTTTAGTACAATAAAATGCTTTTAATACTATTTAGTTGTTTCATTTTATTCTACAACATTAAAGAATAAAAATATCAATCTTCTTAGGCTTAAAATTATCACAAAAACCAATTTCAAGAAATATTAAAAATGTAATTTAAAGGCAAAAACAGCATAAAATTAATTTTCCTTCTAAAATGCTTCTGCAACTGCTTGCATTATTCATTAGGAAATTGAATTTAAAGCAGAATTTATCTTGGATGTAGACACTTATGATGAACTAACCAAATCTGGGAACTTAATAATTAAGAAAACCAAGTTACAAATTAAAATTCTGTACTAATTACATTTAAACAATCTAACTGAAAACAGAATTTTCAGAGAAAAGAGCTTCAATTAGAAACTTTATACCTTCTAATTTATTGAACAGTGAAACTTCTCACTGATATCTAAAAGTTACCAGTATCTCTGAGAATTTCAATAAAATGTTAGAATTTAATATTACTGATATGCTGCCACCTTCATAAAAATTATCACTTGAAATTTTATGTAGTTGTCATAAAGAAGATTAAATGAGTTTCACTTTTTCTTGTCATATGACTTATATAACTATCAGTAAAAATTTTTATTTTCCCATTTGAAAGTTTTCATATTTCCACATTGTGTAATTTGAAGTCCTTTATAAACCATTCATAGACTAAAGAACTTTAAAACGAACATTCATTTTTATTGCACATATCTAAATATAATCAAATTTGCGTATTTAATAGTTATATTATGCACACTGGCATATAATAAACCTAAACATCGTTTTAAAGCTTAAACAGTTGCATGGAAGCTATTTCAAGCTGTATACTTTAATTAAGAAAATAAAATTAGCAGAAGTTACTAAATACTAAAATTCTAGCCTCCAATGTAAATACTGATAAATGATGTAATAATAATTACCTATCTATCATGGAAGAGGGATATACTTGCTGTTCATATGAAAAAGAATCTGAATTATAACTCGATGAAGTTGAAACTGGCATGGAAGAATTATAACTAGAAACAGGAGGATTATAACTCCCAGGGGAGGTCTGTGGAGACAAAATTGGATCTGCTCCACTGTAACCTGCCTGCAGGCCACGAGGAGAGTTGACTCGATCTAAAAAATTAAAAAAACACTGCCATAAGCAAAGAATTCACAAATACAAAAACATATATATAACATAAATTTCTCATGAAGCCAGCTCTCTTTTGACAGTCCAAAGAGGCTTTGTCCCTGAGCGACGATAGTTTTCATTTTGCAATATTGCATCGAATCACTTTCAATGTCCATTTCACTTTTTAAACTTTTGCCACCAAATATTATATTTGAAGAAATTAAATAATGAAGAATCTGCATGAATGTATGTTTCTCTGCATAAATGTATACATATTTCTCACATTGTGATAAAACAATGGTACCTAGAGCCATCAAATTTTGAATGACGTAATCCTACTGCAACTATGGGCACCTGAAAGTCCAAATTTGAAATTTGGAATTTGTTTTATTGTTGATTTCATATTTTTTAAAACTTTAATGAATTTTTGATTAAAACTCAAGGATTTAGAAATGAGCAAATGGCAACACTCTACTGGGGGGGGACTTTTTGTTGTTGAAACTTTGTGTTGGAAATTCTAAAGATATACTCATTTTAAAATTATTGTGCGACATTGCTGTTGAACTGAATTTTATGGTTTAAGTGCAAAGAAGAAGAAAAAAGATAAATAAAAGTTCACACAAAATATTAAAAAAAAAAAACACTCCTTCCGACATAATTTAAAATCTGAAACCTTTTAGTCTCTCTCTTTTTTTTTTTTTTTTTTTTTAAACCGGCCATAAATACTGCATAACAATGCAAAAGATTACTTAGTGCAATCTTGATTTTTGCACCATTCAAAAATTAATTATGCAACAATAGACTCAAAACTTATCCGTTTACCATTAAAAACAATTTAATGTTTACTTAAAATTATTTTACATTTTCTTTTCAGTAAATTTAGATTTTATATTTTGAACCTTATGTGTGCATTATTCTTTAAGTATAATAGAAGTAAACACCTTTAAAAAAATAAAGATGTTTTAAATGTTTTACCATCCATAATTCAGCACTGAGCATGTACACAACAAAATAAACATAATTTCCCCACGAAATATAACTAACTTTTAGTATCCATTCTCACATAATTTTAGTTGTAAAGTCACCAATTATACGATCAAAATAAATAAAACATACTTGAAATCAGATTTATCTCTTCTGCTTTTAAAATATAAACCAATACATAAGCACTTACATATTAGCAGAACCACCTTAGTAGAAGTTGTCAAATTTTCAAAATGCAATAAACTCTGGCAACTAGGGTCGAAAACAATTCTTCAGGCAACTATGTGCACCTTAGTTCTTCAGTTTCAATAAACACTGCTATATTCATATTCATTCTTTTTGTTGTATTTTAACAGTTCCCCCCCCCATACCAGAGCCGGCGATAGCCGTTTTGACGCTCCGGGCAAGAGGTAAAATGCTGCCCGTTTATAACAAAAATTAAAAGAGATAACCTAAACACTTCCCACGCTTAATGGTAAAATAAAACGTGAGCAAAAAATGTTGAAGTTTTGATTAGCAACAAATACTAATTTATTAATTTATGTTTTTGGCACTAAATTAAAATTAGGGTTGCACAGAAAAAAAAGAAAAGAGTCATTTCTAGTTCATTCAATCTCTATAATTATACAATTATAAAATACAGATATTAAAAAAATAATAAAACAAATTATAGAACTACTAAATATTAAAACTTAATTACATATTAAAAATACACTTAAGCCGAGAGTGTTTTTTAAAGTGTTTATTCTCCCTTTTAATTCAGAGAATTTTTTTATAATTTCTTTAGCCAGTTCATGTTCAATGGCTATTGTTGTCAAGCCGTTTAGCCGATCCTCGGTAGTTGTGGAGCGTAACAAATTTTTAATTAATTTTAATTTGGAGAAACTCCTTTCTCTACTTGCCACACTTATTGGGAGAGTAAGCAATAATCCTTAAAGCTATACCGAGATTTAGAGCAAATGCAGTTTCGATATGAATTTTAAAATCTTGCTTGGACTTTCTTTTTCATTTAGCAAAGCCAAAACTGCTACTATCTCGTCTGCCAGGTCGAGCGCGTTTATATCTGATGAATTCCCATCAGTTAACACTGTTTCTAGATCTTTAAAATACTTTAGTACGTTGTGTTTAAATCACAAATATTGTATAAGAATTGGAAATAGTTGTGGGTACTGATCAAATCAAACCTGGATTCAAGTGCATTGATAACTTTATCTAATGTGAAAAAATAAAACTCTGCCTTATATTTCAAAGTAGGATCTTCTATCGGATCATCTTGCGCCTCATAGTTGAAATTAAGAGTCCTTCTTCGAACTCTATTACACGGCTGGGTGAGCTCAAAATTAGCTGGTATGTCAATTTCGTCAGCGAGTTCTCGAGCATCTCAAAGCATTTCATTAAAGGCTGTGTCCGATCTAAGATCCTAGAAAAAATCTTTACAATTTTTCAAGAGCTCCATAGCAGATGGTAAATCATAGTCTTTTGTCTGCAAGAGCTTACTTGATACAATTGATACAATTTAAGATTTTGTACCAAATTACAATGCAGCATAAGAACTTAAATACTTTAACGCAACTAAATAGTCCAGAAGCCTCAACTCTTATAAGAGTTGTCAATCTCTGAATTATTACAAACAGCAAGTAAAGCATCGTATACCCCTCCTAATTGATACCTTAGTAGTTTTAATGCATCTATTCAGCTTTCCCAACGAGTATCACTTAGAGGTTTCAAAGTAAGTCCGTGAACATATTTTACTAATATGGTCCATCGAAAAGTTGATGAGGAAAAAAATAGATATATTTTTTGGAATATATTAAAAAAATCGGCAGCTTCGAAGGATGCTTTTGCCATGTCATTAACTACCAAGTTTAATAAGTGGCTGCTACATGGGAGGTAAAATGCTCTTGGATTTAACGCATTTATTCTAGATCGTACTCCTGATTTATTGCCTCTCATGTCAGCCCCATTATCGAAAGCCTGCCTCCTCATATCTTGCAAATTCAATCCCAATATTTCAAATATTTTAAGTATTAGTGTTGAAAGTTCATAGCCAGTCAATCTCTCAGCCGGAAGCAGGCCTAAAAAGCTTTTATTAATTTTAATAGAAACCTCCTTGGGATTGGATTTGTCAATGGATACATACCTTACTAACACTGTCATTTGCTCAATCTTCCTGATATCAGAAGTACAATCTAGAATTATTGAATAATATTTAGCTTTTTTAATCTCAATGAGATGTTATATTTTCACCTAAAAGAATAATTAATTCATTTTGAATTTTTTTCCCGAGATAGTGCACTTTAACCCTTTGACGGGCGGCGGTCGCGCCCTGAAAATCACCAATTTTCGAAATTTTTCCCGCTCTTGTTTCCAAAATGTTTGACTGAAAACCACTTGATTACTTATCTTTTACCTCTAAATAACACAAAATTACTGCAGAACTATACATTTTCTAGGTCTTAGTATTTTAAATCGGATGCCTTTTAAAATTCATTTTCAGCGAGACAAAATAACTTCCTTTTATTTATTTAAAATTATTTAAAAATTTTTTTATCGCACATCATTATTTCTATCATAAACAATAAAAATACAGCAATAATTAAACTGCATATATAAACAACCTGTGTATATTTATGGTATTTCCTTTGTGGTTTCAGGGCGCGACCACTGCCCCACTAGAGCATTGCATTACAATGCTCACATTCCCTAGAGGCTCGGTGGTCGTGCCCTGAAACCACTGCTCTTTATAGTAATGTTTGCCGCTTTGTAATAGAAGTGTTTATTTTCACACGGATATAGATAAGGGGTTTTGAAATCACAGAGTTATTGTATTACCAAACAATACATGCACCTGCCCCCATAAAATATTTTTCCTACCAGACATTTTTCTCTGCTTTCAACATGTTTGCTCTCTATGCTAGTACTGTGATTTTCTAAATTATTTTTTGTGGTTCCAAAAAATTGCAAATATATTTTTGAATAATTAAAAATAGAAATCGTGCAAAAATTTAATTAAATTTAAAATATTTTGCCAATATTTTATTTTCTACTGTTGAGATTCAAAATGCCTCACAAAGGGTTAGAAATAGCTGATGCATTAGCGTTACTTGAAGAATTACCTTCAGATCCAGAATCAGTGGTCTCTGAGGATGAAAGTGAAGGAGAAGGAAATACTCCTTTACCCCCCTTCCCTCCTGCCAGATTAAAAACGACTAAAGAACGCAGGACATATGCCAGTAAAATGCAAATCCTGGTGGTGCAGATTTTGTAACATAAGCGAGAAACCTCATAGAACAAATACATGTGCGAAACGTGCAGTGTTGGCTTATGCATGTACTAAAAAGATAAAACATGCTTTGAACAGTTCCATAAAAAATAACTTAGTTCTTTGACATTTTCCTTATTATGTACGTTCTTATGTTTTCACTGCTGCAGAAAAATTACATAAATTATAATTTTTTTTCTGATGATATACTTTGTAAAATAAAGTAAAAAATTTATATTTGATGCAATTTTTAAATGCAGTTTTTTTTATTCCCAAATTTCGTCATTCATTGGAAATGCGTACGGAAAAAAGTAAGTTGTTTTTTCCTACTAACTCAGTAAGTTTCAAAGTCCTAGACGCGCGCTGGTTTTCACAGCAAAACCACCACCCACAGATTAATGGGCGGGAGTAGATTTTTTTTTTAATTCATATATTATTTGTCTCTAGGATCATAATATTCGATTTCTAGTGTTTTTAGTTTAAAAAATTTTAAAATAATATAGTGCGCATCAAAGGGTTAACTTCCTCTTTTTTAAGCATTCTGCAAAGATGCTCTTCCATTACTGGATCAAACTGAGCAAGTAACTGAATAATTTGTAAAAAATTACTGTTACCGGAATCGTAAAGTTTGTCACTTGTACCTCGAAGGGCTAAACAATTTTGAGAAAGCATTTTTATTTTTGCAACAATTCGTAGAAGCACCTCATACGAGTGATTTATTTCTGTGGTAATGAGTCTTTGTGAGTGACTGTCAAT